GGAAGCGAGTGTGACAGCAGCAGCTTTCGCCAAGCTAGGGCCACTGGATGTTCACTAGGTATTACTGGATTCATGCCTCACACTCCATGACAAGTTGTTAGCAGCTCGTCAACTTCAAATTCATACATGAGGGATCTGATTGCGGTTTGGTGCGAGTCCACCAGCAGACGTGTAGTGCTGCCCCAATCTCAGATATCATCTCCGCACTCTCTGCTTCCAATTCACAAGGCCTGTAGGGAATTTGAACCCCTGTTCAATTTCTTTGACGTGTCAAAAGCACGTATGAGCTGAAAGCGATTACGGTTCATTTTGTCTTGGGTATTTTGCAACTAGTGCAAACGGCAGCTTCACCTAAAACAGTAAATCTCACCCACCCACATTTCGCCAACACTCAGGTGGATCGAGCTTTAGGGCACACGTAGAACATCCGCATTTCTTTTGGTAGCAGCAGTCTAACGAAATAGGAAAACAAATCTATACCAGCACGTCACCATGATCTGTTGTTGTTCTGTCGTTGTGGGAGTACGATTAGCCGCTCAGCTGTACATCCCGTGGAATTATATCGGAAGTTAAAAGAGTCCCAGAGAGTCCCACCGGCTACCGGAAATTAACTAATGGGCAATACTTTTACGCTTGTTAAGTCATTCGCAACTACTGAATGTGTCATGACCGTGGAACAAACGGTTGAGCGTGAATCCTCAGTGATCTATTTACACAGTTTCCATGGATACTTAAAGTACCAAAAATTCTAGTACGATGGCATTTTAAGGTTTTCCAAATTGGTCGGATCCGTATCTGGGCGATAAGGAATATTTAAACATTCAAGTCTGCCAAGGCGGGGAACTCAAGTCAAGTCAATAAAATGCTTAATACACCAACAACGCTTGAATATTCAGCCGTAAACAGACTGGCTTCATCAAATAAATGCATCGTACGCGCTGGATTCTTCCATCACCTTTCTTTCCAAAATGGGTGATTAGATTTGACCTAAACGCTTCTTTATCTACTTTAGGATTCTTTTACCATACAAATACTGTAAAATTCCTTCTCGTGCTCATTGCGAAACTGATTTTGATTCAATTGTCCAAGCTGATGGAATAAAATGAGATTTGATAAAATCTGTTCAAAAGCCACTGCACTCAGCTTTCTTTTTATTTCTGTATTCTGCTGGAATTAACTCCTTAGGCGGCCGCGCACTTGCAAATAGATCCGATGAGCCTCCAGTAGCTGGTAGACACTGCTCCGGACTCATTTATGCATAAGTAGCATCTCATATTTTCACCGCCTAATTGTTACGAATTCTTATTTTGCTAAGGTGGTTTATGTGAAGGTAACATTCAGTCTACAACAGCGTTGTCACTAACCCTTTCATCATTTGCTGGGATAACATTAAGCAACTGTCGAAGCGCCATCAACATTTGAACACGGTAGCCAGTGCATTATGCACTGCTGTCGAGATGTTGCAAACCACCAGCCCAAAACGTCGGCATCGACCCAATCTGAACTGGCCGGTGTCAAAATCGACGAGGGTAATTAACATATTTCAAGGACACATGCACCGCAATGCGTCCGCACGTCGTATTCACACCCCCAGACATGCGTGGATGAGTAAATACAGTAGACTTACATGCCATTGGTGGGTCGGCAAATTAGTGCGCTCCAATCTACCCCTGACCTGCGCGTCGACTGAGCAAAAACGAAAGACTTCTCAAACGTACGGTAGGCTGGCACACAACGCATACGCTCCGTTTGTGTCTGCGGAATGCGATGCTCTCATGTGTGACCGACTGCACTGACCTCAACCGCAATGGCAGCTGCAGTGATGCATTGGATAGCGTTATTTGATTGAGCGTTGTCCATACTGCGTAAACATGGAACATGCACGCACCATTACCGTGGGCAATAACTGAGGCAGTGCAGCTAACGCAGGGCATTAGACATGAAGTTTAGTTTTCCTGACCATTCATCTAACCGGGAGAAGGGGGCGGTGAGGAAGGACGATCCATTCCGTGAAGAGCAGTGGTTACGTACTACCTAGGACCGAACATATCAGACAGTTGCTATTTGTACGAAAATTCGTTCGACGAGTACAGCGTGCTTATGTAATTGCTGTGTACGGCATCCCATGGTAATCTTCCACGAGAGGGGACTGAATCAGTCCGCCTTATGCAAGCCATAAGGAAATTAATTAACCACCTTCTGCAATTGCGTACTGTAGATGAAAACTACCGCTATGTCATGGTCCGTTTCGCATTTAGCGCAGTGCCCGTTCACACAGGTTACCGTAGCAACCTTCACCGTACATGAGGTTTACCGCATCCAAAGTGCTATAAAGCAAATTCGCGGGACAAGTTCAATCCCCCTACTATCGTTGCCGCTATATTTTACTGACCGAGAACGTTGTGGGCGTCAATTACCAAAGCTTACTTCAGCAACTTTATCCCAACTGAAATGAATTCTGCACTTATGCATCCCAAGAATCCCCACACTACTAGGAATTCGTCATTCAAACACGCTGTGTCGAAGCAAATAGTATCCCAAAAGATGAATTCACCCAGCTGTTCGAAGCAATGTAGTGCCGAAACAGCCTACAGGGATTCGGATATGAATAGTAAACCATCGAAGGTACAGACTGAGGTGATCATGATTAAAACAATATATCTCCTTTTCCAGCGGCTAACACAATACAAGATGAAGGCGTTTCCTAATCGCTATCTGCCGTAAATATAGCATATTGTTAAAGTAATAGTATAGTTGCGTAAATGCACCAAAGTGTATTCAGATCACAAAAGTCCGATCATCTTCAATGTCCCAGACACAGATCCCTTGATATTTGTGATGTGCACCCATAAGAAGTCTTTCACTCTAACAGCGATTCGCTGTAGCTTGACACTACTCCACAGCAGATCTCAGAATTATATGTGTCCATCTGTGTTTAAATCCAACAGTCCGTGATCAGGAGCGTGGCAAGTACTTTGCCGCCCGACTGCGTGGTGATCTAATCACTCTTACTGAGGGCAGCATACTCGAGTGAAGGCCGAAAGATCGATAAAGAGCACACTATAGCATTTCCCGCGATGTTGCATAAAAGGTCCAAAATTTTGCAAAGAATGCGTTCAGAGTAAGTCCTCTGACCTTAAGTGTGTTTTCATTGACCGGATCCCAAGGTTCGGTTCGTTAATCTGGGGAGGTGAGCGCGCTGTCCGTTGACTGGGTGAGACTAGTGAAGGAACCTTAGTGGTATGCACTTCCGCGGTGCAACGGGCTTGTATGCGCCACCCTCAGGTCCGAAACGGTGGAGCACGATTGGTCTGAGGGCAATGAACAGCTGGAACATAACTGCACGATCGAAACCATGTCTATGATACTAATGTCGTCGGCATGCCTTCCCGCGTTCGCCAGAGTATCTCATCAGACATTCGTGACCGAGTTTTTGGCGCCTTCGTCAACGGTGATGACTGGCAGATTGTGGCAACTGTGAACGACGTCAAATATCAAACAGCCTACCCCTGGATTCGTCGTGCTCTTTATCTGGAGCCGAGTGCTACGCAGGCGCGCGGTCGTAAACGGTTTTAATCTGAGGAAGGCGTAGATGACATCCTGGATTGGATCGCAAGGGAAATGCGAGTATGAGTACGAGCAGAAATGGACAAGGACATTTCGAAGTCAACAATCGCACGGCACCTAGATGGTCGATTGATAACTGTGAAGAACATCTATCACGTTCCCGAGGGAATGAACAACGAGCGAATCAATGGGATACGCAGGGAATTCGTACAGCAGTTTCTCCAACTTGAGGGCGATGCCAAGTTCTTCATTTGGATTGACGAAGCGAACTTCAACGTTTAATGCAAACGTACTCATGGTCGGGCGCCCAGAGGAGTGAGGGCCTGCTGCAACCTTGCCAACAGTAGAGGCCTCCATTTGCACTTGATCGATGCACTCACAATAGAAGGGAAACTGTCGATGATCACCCGGAGAGGCTCATTCACAGGTCCCCCATCTCTCGAATGGCTGCGAAGCTATTTAGACAACCCGAAACCGGAGATGGCGCTCCGGCAGGTTGTCTTGATATTTGATAACGCACCATGTCACACAATGGAAGAACTGTCGTCACTATATGGATACGAGGGAGTAACGATACTGAGATTGCGCCAATACTTTCCGTTCCTCAATCCGATCGAGAATGCTTGACAGGTGGTGTAGGCCAGTGCGAAGAATGAGATGAGAGTGCACTACGAGGAACTTCTGGCCGGGGATCCCCAGAAGAGCATGGCGCAGATGGAATGGTGGCTGAATTTCCTTGAACTCATTGCCGAAGCAGCCACCAAGGATATCAGCGTTGTGCGATGTCGTAATGTTATTCGACATATGCGTGTACATTTTACTAATTGTCTAGAAAAAAATGACATATTTTGAACATGTTGCTGGCTTATTTTTTACGTAGCTGGTTGTATAACACGTCACTGGCAGCGCGTAGGGATGTGTGAGTATTCACAGTGTTTACAAAATATGTATGCACATACGCAAGCTTGTGTGTTCGTACGGGGGTTGTAGCGATATCTGATATCTAGCGAAAGGGAGTGACACGGGATCGGCTTCCAGTGAGCCATGGTCATGGGGTCTCAGGGTTGGGAGGAGCAACACCGAATCACCAACATGTAACAAGCTTTTTTGAAGAAGCAGACTGCATCACAAACAAGCTCATATAGGCGTTAGAGCTATGTGACAAATCTGAGTCAGCCAAGTGTCAGCTCTGGCAATGACAGTGTGTCGAGTCACAAACACCTTATGGAAGATGTGCTTTCAACCCGTGTCACCATGCATACCTAGGGCAAACACAGCAGCACATTCATTTCCAGTAACGATAATGCCTGTCTTTTCTGTGCAATATTTTATGTGCATTCCTCAATCATTACGCTCGATGTTGATGACACACAGTTTGTAACTCGTGTTTGTTGTTTGCTAGCGATTAATCCATTGGTTTATTTTCACTGCAGCTCACTGAAGGAACACTTACGCTGCCAGGAGTTGCTGATGATGAGCACTCTGTGGAAGATCTGCTACCGTCAGCTGGCGTTTTTCGTTTGAACCCTTTACTGAAAGAATTCCAATTCTGCTCTGACCCAGACTTGGACCAATCACGAAGACTTAAACTGCTACAGCTTCGGCAATCTGGTATACCGGAATTGCAGGGTCTAGTTGTCCCTGCATCTTCAAAGCACATTCCCTTGGATATACTCAAGGTAACTACCGTTGTCTGCGTGTCAGTCAGAATGCCAGTTACCTAGTGTCTGTGGTGTCTCCTGTGACCCATAGCAAGAACAACGGGAAACCGATACCTAGATTCCTGTAGTGATGACGTAAGCAATATCCAGATGTCTATAGTAAATCAACATTCTGAAATAAGCTTGAAATCGATTGGGAATACATATCTTTGGAAGGATGTTTAGTGTAGGTTTTTGTTGTGGATATATCTTGCTATGGACGCAACATTTTCTTCAGGCCCGGTGAGCAAATACATAATTGGCTTAACATTTATGGGAAGTTAAGTCCATAATTGCAAAAGATAATAAGAGTCAGTGAACCATAATGAGAGATCCGAAGATGGCGGTACGCGCTAGACGGGGAGACCGAAATCGATTTAGACCATGTTGAGATGGTCAGTAGAGGGATGCGAACAACAAACTAAAGCTTAGTTCCCAATGTGGAAGTATTTTCCCTAGGCCAATATCTAGGTGAACAGGATAGATGGGGTGGAGCTACTGAAAGTGTGGCGAGCTGGATTAACCCTGCCTGTGTGAACAGCTTTGACAGACGGACTTAGGCGGCAGCGTGAACCTCGAACTATGAACAAAAAGCCATTATCAGCAAGAGTAAGCATGCCTTTTATGTGGATGACGGAAAACCCAGTTCGATCAGGTAGTTTTCGTGATAGTTATCTCACCTGTGTGACCCCGTGACACCTTGAAATGTGGCGGTAAGCATCCACAAACTCGTACCATCTGTTGAGAATATCATCCTAAATTGTTCCAAAACTAACCCAATTATCTACCTGATCACACTGCCTTAAGAAGCTTTTGAGTGAAAAAGGAAACGTAGTCACCATAGAAGCCAGTAAAAAGCCGCTTTGGATTCTAAACCCTGGGACGTTATCCAGGTATCTAGTTTTTGTGCATCTGTCACGCATTACCTCCATGACTTGGCACCTTGAGCAATATGTTTCGAAAACTTCACAAAAATTGCACTGGGGATATTTCCCAGTCAGGAGACCAGCCGCGCACTCTAATCCTTACCTTGATCTGCATATGTTCTTGATATTTACCAAATTTCACCTGGAGCAGACAAAGCAGCCGTCTGCAGTGGGTGTTTCTAGGGGTGAGAGATGGCCTTGTTCAGTTGCCCACACGAGGCCTTTCCTGTACTGCTTCATCATAGTCTTATTCTGTGACAACTTGGGACATTCGGAGACCGGCCACAATCTGTGAGTCGGCCGATTTATCACCTTATGTCGTTAAGTGGTTTTTGGTGGCGTACCTTAACCCAAGTGACCGTGGTTGCAATGTCATGTTATTCAGAGATATTGAGTTTGTGTCAGCGTAAAGAACGCACCGAAATAGTTAGCGAAGCCACTGCGTACGTGTGATCATATCCATATGTTCGTATTGCGCGAGAGTCGCACAAAAACGTTTTTTGACTATAAGGACACTTCTGTTTGCAAGTATTTTTCGGAACGCCAAATCCCAACCTGCTGAACAAATTGACTTGTATGGGTTTAACCAGTGTCATATTCCAAAACACTGCTCATCTGATGGTTCATTCTTCTAAATCATTGTTATAAATAAACGAGCAAGTCGGTTGTTTCTCCCCAGTGCTTGACACGGTTCAGGTTGTTGACCCAAACAACTTGTACAAAGAGATCACAAGGATGGATAATGGTACACGTGGATAAACAAGTACGCATGATCTCCGTTTGGCAGAGCACATCACCTCTAGTGTGATCAAAGAGCTACGCCAAAAGCAATGTATCGATCACACGCTAATTGGTAGCGCACAGAAAATTTTCTTCGAGGCATTTTATGCATTTCAGTGGCATACTGATAAACTTTTGTGATAGTATGCGACTTTCGGAGAAAAATTAATGTTTGTGTACCATTGGGAGCGAAATTGGATCTGACATTTATATGCTGATCCAGCTGAATGCTTTCTTAAAATAAAGCGCTAAAGTCGACGGTAGCGAATTGATTCTCCAAGGGATGTGCGTGTCTAAACCGTATGTTCATTGTGAATTCACTCCGCTGTGCAGAATGCGGCTACTTTTTCGCATGAGTAAGATCAAAATCGGTGGCTGATTAGTCACATAATGGACCACTTAGTGATTTACCTCCGGTTCCGAAGATCAGGAGTATGTTTGTTTCCATCACAAACTTCGTCACAGTGAAACTTGTGGAAGATGGAATCCTGGATCTGCAGAAATTTTAAGTTCATTTGGCCTGCGATGCAATGCCATTCCAAGGGAGTACCAGACAGTTGCTTGAAGTGCGAGGTGTTGCAGACGAAGGTGGTTTCAGTTGGGACGATTGATATACCCTCCTCATACAGAAGGGTCCGTATATAAGCGTTATTGGTAGGGAAGCAAACTGCCCATCAGGCAATCTTCGTCGAAGAGTTTTCCGCGATAATTCCACGAGAATCCCAGGGAAGAGTCCAATTGAATACATAAACACTCAACAAGTTTATCGATATGCAAGTAGTAAAGGCTGTTAAAATGCTGTCAGTTTTATCGGTTCTGAAGTTGTCAGCGTTCTAAAACATGATAAAAGCATATGATTATCATTTCTGTAGTATACAGTGTGTGTTAGCAGGAGTGTGGGAGGCATGGGTGTCAACTGGCTTCTAGTAAGCGCAGTAGGTTACATAATTGGTTTCCGTCAGGCCCGTGTTCCCATAACTCCTCAGTGGGAGTGATAATTTTCATGAATTCTGATACAGAGGTGCTACTCAGAAATTTACCCAAGTAGGCGCAACAATGTGCAGTGATATCTTGTGCTCCATTGTGTTCAACAAGTACCAAACCTGTACTCGGAGCCTCACCCATTTTACTCACGGAATCAGCCAAAAGTAGACTACTTGGCACTCTCGGTCGCAAAGCCACTGTATTTTTTCAATCAGGTGTTTCGTTAATGGCGTTTACCAACCGTACCGGTTATCTTTCAAAAAACGCCGTGTCTTGTGTTTCACATCGCACTCGGCTTTGTGTCTGCACGCCAAGTGGAAACACTACAGACACTACCGTTTGTTGGTAGGGTGTGACAAACAGGAAGTGTTGCGCGCACCTCGGTAGGCCCAATTACCTACTTTTGCGGATAAAGACTGCGGAGATTGGAGCGCAACACGTGGTTCCGTTACGGTAGCATAAGGTTGTTGCAGAATCCAGTCCTTCAGGGACAACCGTTTATTCAGCAAAGTCTTGTCAGCGAAAATTACAGCATGTTTGGCAAACCAAACTCCACAATATAATTTACACGTTCAAGTCAATAACTAACGACGCTTCTTGGTCGATGAGGTTTCTCCTTTATTCAGTCAAACAAACGGTGCATCATTCACACGAATATCGGCCCCTCCGAGTCTGGTAATCGAATCGGGTACGCCCGCCTCTCTTTGGCTGTCTGGCTCGCTCGGTTGGTCCTTCCGCCCAATCTGGTATAACATTTCCCATCACATCGTCTCTTTTTTCTTGTTCCTGTGCCTCCATATTGCTATATACTACGTACACTTTGCGACTCTTCGTCGTCTTGGTTGTATCTACGGCCGTGGTTTCCTTATCCCACGCCATCGTGTGCTCCACTCCCAGTCCCCCTTGTTGTCTCCGGTGTCGTGTCAAATACATTCGATTTCTTCTGAGCCTTCTCCCTCCGACATTTATTTCAAATGACCTGACACCGACCTGTGCAGTCACAACACCTTTCTTTCACCGGTCTTGACTATCGGGTAATGGTTAAATCCACACGTCCTCCCCCACTGTTAGCTCGGTGCATGGATACATGCACCGCAGTCCTAGTATCATTTCTGAGTGGTCATTCGTCGTCTCAAATTGTTCAGCAATTACCGTGCTGAGGCGAACCTGGGCGCAGAAGTGTGGCCGATGCCTGCATCAGAGTTCTATACCTTCGGCTGGATAGGCGCTGCACCGGGCCCAAAGCGATATTCGTTGAAGGAGTGTTGCGAATCTCCAGTAACATAAGGTACGGGTCTTCGCCAGTTGCTCTAGCCTTTGAAAACAGTTGCTTGGCTTGCTTCACTGCTTACTCCATCTTTCCACTCGATTGACTGTGCTATGGGCTGGTTTGCTGGTGCACGAATTCTCCTTGGTTGAGAAGGTCTGGAACACAGCGCTGGTAAACTGGGGCCCATTGTCGGAGACCTTCTACGGTAATCCGTGCCGCGCGAACTGACATCTGAGCATGTTGATTAGTGCCTGCGTGGTTGTAGTGGCGAGTAAATCGATTTCGAACTAATCACTATAGTAATTCACCGTGAATAAGTAATCTTTCCCGTTAGCACTGAATAGATCCACTGCCACCTTCTACCACGGTTGGTCAAGGACATCCTGCAACATAATTGGTTCCCTCGTCTGCCGGATTTCGTGTGAACGGCACGCCTCACAAGTCGACACATGACCTCTTATTTGGCCTATCATTCCTATCATTCCTTGCTCGGGTATCGGTATAAGAATAGAACAATGGATTTATAAGGGTAAAAAGGTTAGTGCTTAACAGTTCACGTAAGATGGTTATGGCGAAACTTCAAAATAAAAAAGTTGTTGGCAAAATTGGGTTTACACCATTGAACTCACTGAAGTATACGTAGTATAGACTATAAACCCAAGGTAAATCCATAAGAAATGACGGAAAATGGGATCCAGGTAAAAATCGTGTCTCCTTCGGGTGTACACATAGTGGACGTGAAAAAAGTAGAACGAAATCCGTGATTTGACTACCAGTGCAATTTACCGACACTTGTGTTTATCCATGGGTATTGGGTCATGTAAGATGATGCAGCGAAACAAGTGCACAGTCAACTCAGGCTTTGAAGTCTGCAAGCGTGGGAGCACATATGACAGATTCCGGTAGGGCTTTCCACGTGCCTCAAACGCGTACGGAATACAAATTCCGACGGCATTGCAACTGACTTTACTGCTCTGATAATTTGACATCTTGGCTTTTCAAATTGCTGTTGGAACTGA